AGTAGATACTTAAGTGATCTGAACTAGATTTTAGTCTTCAAGAGAACACCACAAGGATAAAACATGCATGGATACTTTTCAAAAGAAAGTTCTGAAAGCTAGTCTCTTCCTTCCTAAAGTTTCTGCACAGGGATACCAACATCAGCCACACTGCTACAAAGTCAAGACTGTGTATACCAAGCCAGGCTCACTTCAATACACCTAATACAGACGTATAACCAGTGCATGTCAGAACTGTTTAAGGTAGCCATGTTACAAATCTGTCTTTGTCCTTAGACTCCAGTCTCTTGCACACACAGAGGAGGCTTTGTTTTCAAGTATACATCTTGCGATTGGAGCAGTGGCTATCAGTGTTCTCTCATGGGAAGAGCTATTACTCATTTAGCCAAGTTTTCTTTAGATTACAGAAGTCCTTGTTCCTGATGATTATCAGGTGAAATGCAGCTTTCCTGGAGTTTCATATGTTGTGTTCTCTGAAGCATGGGGCCACTGGTCTTCACAGCCAAGGGGCTCAAGTAACCTTCAGCTCAGCTGCACCGTAATTACAGCACAAAGTCCTAGAAGTTAAAAACAAGCCTAATCCAACATGACTCAGTTAGCTAGAACAATCTGAGCATTAAACTTACTTTTTAGACTCTTCGTTTTTCTTTTTAGCAGTCTCTTCATTTTTCTGTTTAGAGGTGCTTTCTGCTTCAGAATTTTTTGCTATGTATAGAGAAGTAGATCAACTTCATGAACCAGACCCACAAACACAAGGCAAAAATTCACATGGGGAGCAAATCAATCTCTGTGCAGTATCTGCAACAGTTCTTCAAATAAATTCAATGACATTTTAAACAACTTAGCGTAGCTTACTATTGGCAAAGCAGCACAGCAGTTATCGGTGCTATCTAAATGCAATTTTTAAAGCTTTCTTGAAATTAAAATAATATTAAGAAGCTTTCCTCCTGAAAAATTACCATGTTCTTGTGTACCAGCAATTAACACTAGAAAAACTGTGATGCATGGATGGCAGTTACATTAATTCAGAGCTGACTAGCAAGCATCTAGAAATTCAAGGACAGAAACACCCATATTGGTTCTAAATGGATAGTGCAACAACATCTAAGCTGAAGTCTTTGCTGCTATTCTGTTTCAGGGCACAAGCAGGTACTTCTCTACAGGACTGTCCCACATCAACATCAGCTTTAGGTTTTCTACACTGTACTCTGCTTCACAGAATAGAAGTATCCCAGGTGTCACAACTTTATAAATACAGTAACATCATCTTCAGCATTACCAGGTACAGGAGCCTGTTGAGGTTTTTCATTGCTCTTGCTCGGAACTTGAGGCCTAGCAGTCGCTTGAACCAGAAATTTTGGTCGGGGCTGCTGCGTTGTCTGGTTATTAGACAGTTTTTGGTTTGACAGTACAGGTTTTTGTGATTGCACAGGAACTCGCTGGGCAAGGTTTGAAGGACACAGAACACGTTGTGCTTGAACTCCACTGTTCAGTAACCAGCTCTGGGCAGAATGCTGAGACACAGGGACACGTTTCGGGCCATCCCCAATGGGATTAGCAATCTTCAAAAAGAAGATATTATATATTAATTGGAGAATAGCACACAATAACCTTCATGGCCCCATTCAGTACAGCAAGAAAAAAGCCACAAAGCACATTAACAGGAGATATTAGGGGAGTCTGGCCTTATGTTTTATGAATGAAAACATTCTTAAATTTCTACATTGACAAGAGAAAGCAGTTTTCTTCAACAGCATACTTATTTATAGCTGGAATAAGCTGACACTTTTGCTCTCTCTTTAAAGGATTTTATACTATGCTTAAAATAGGAGGAGGATTTCCCAGTTCAAGTATGATGTAATAACATTAACAATAAAAAAAGAGTAAGCCTCTCCAGCACTTTCTCTCCAAGAGAAAGCCACTGGAAGACAAAACTGGCTGTTGTTTCCTGCACATGGGAAAATACTGTTTCAAGATAGTTTTCCCCATTTTAGCTATTTAGTACAGTTAATAGTTACCACAGACAGTTCGTGACCTGCAGCTCTTGCTGATCAGGACACAGGCACCCACCCACTAAGCCATTCACCTTCGCAGCACGGCCGGGGTGTCCGGGGTGGTTCTCCTTCGTGATCCTGTCCATAGTG